CATGCCTGTAATTCTGGCTACTCGGAAGGCTGAGGCGGAAGGATCGCCAGAGCCCAGCAGGTCGACGCTGCGGTGGCCGGGAGCGACTGCTGCACTTCAGTTTGGGCGACAGAGTGAGACTCCAACTCAAAAAAACAAAACAAAACAAAAATGACAAGATCATGAAAGAGAAGGAAAAACTAAGCAACTATTCTCTTTGAACTATTGAAAAAGACCAAAGTGACACGACAACTGTATGCAACGTGTGATTCCATATTGCATCCTGGACAAGAAAGGGAAAAGGGAAATAAAAAGGTTTTTTTTACTTCATTTGTTCAAAGGACATTGTCAGAACAATCAGTGAAATTTGAGTGGAATCTGTGGATTAGATGGTATTACTGGATCAGTGTTAAATTCTGACTATGGTTATGTATGAGAGTTCTTGTTTTTAGGAAATACACACTGAACATTTTGGAGTAATGGACATTATTTTGGCAACTTTCAAGAAATGACTCAGGAAAATAATATGCATAGCTCATGCCTGTAATCCTAGCACTTTGGGAGACCAAGGCTGGGGAACTGCTTGAGCCCAGGAGTTCAAGATCAGCCTGGGCAACATTGAAAGAGCTAGTCTCTACAAGAAGGAGGAGGAGGAGGAGGAGAAGGAGGAGGAGGAGGAGGAGGAGGAGGACGAGGACGAGGACGAGGACGAGGACGAGGAGAAGAAGAAGAACAAGAAGAACAAGACCTCTCACAGAAACAAAGATCCGAGTATCACATGTTCTCACTCATAGAATGGACCTTGAACATCCAACGTAATGCTATAAGAAAATGACTGATGGTACTGGGAAACTATGGGGGGGATGGGATTAACAGTAGCAAATATCTGTCTGGGGAAGAGGAAACACCTCTTATCAATAGGGTGCCTGAATGAAACGTAATTATACACCTAACCCTTAACTATACCCCACAAAACCATAATAAAAATATTGATTTTTTAAAAAAGTTTATTCCGTGATTAGTTTAAATATATTTAAATTGTAAGCTCTGTGCTTAGGTTAAGCTAATTTAATTAAATTAAACTAATTTGATTTAGGTAGAACATAATTTTAAGTATTCACTATAGATAAAGTACAGGAATACTGTATCAGCTTGAATAAATTGATCTAGTTTAAGTAGAGTACTGTGCAAGCTAAAATGCACTGGTGAGTCCTGCTGTTGGAGAGGAATGACTCAAGAATGAGGGTGGTCAGAGGAGGGAGTGGGCTTCACTAATTCCTGAATTATCTTCTGATTGTTTCATCATTCTATCCCATCTCCACCTTCCCAAGCACCACCAGTTATCAATAGGATCCCAAGATCTTCCATACATGAACTCATATATCGTGTCATTCATATATATGGTGTCATTAATTCCAGCAATGCTGAATGAGTATCCACTCTATTCCAGGCTGCTCTGTGTTAGCTGCTCACAAGATAGATTTAGTCTCCCCATGAGGCTTTTGAAGGATTGAATAAACAAGCAATTTTTCCCGGACTTAGAAAGTAAAGATTCTTAACATAAAAAACTCCTTCCCTCAAGGAATTTATTTGAGTCTAACCTTAAAAGAGAAATCAGAAGATAATTCAGATCAATTTATTCAAACTGATCCAGTATTCCTGTACTTTTGTACTTGGGTACAAATAAAGCCAGTGATAAAGGTACCTGGAGTTTGGAGGATGGTAGATTCAGGAAGGAGATGGCCTGACAGTGGACACCACCACTGATTCCAGGCAGAAAAGATGAGCAAAAAAAGGGTGGGGGAACAGAAACCTGGGTATACAAAAGGCAGAAGGAGTAAGGCTTCCTGAAGCAACTTCCTAGGTTCAATAAACAGCACTCAAATCACTTGATTCTGACTTTGCTCCTTTTTTACTTTTGATCTTTTAACACTAAAAGTCTGTTTTGTTTACCACATTAAAGACAGCATAGAAAGCTATAACAGGTACAAAAACTCTGGAATGTCACAGAGAAGCGTCTTTCCTGGCTTTGGCAGCCCGTGTGTCTCACCTCACAGTTAGATCAGGGCAATTCAGTATTCTGCACTTCCATTTCCT